TCCTCCAGAATAGTCAGAGGTATTTCATATATATATGCCATATAACAACTTTTTAAAGTAAGGATGTTGTTGTTTTTTTCCATCTTTAATGAATCTAAAAATAGTGTTTTTTTTACATTATGACTAATAATACCATAATGCTAAAGAATAAAGCCTGTTGGTTATTGTTATGCTCTCAGAAGTTAAAACATAATGCACACGAACACCCCCCTTCCCCCAAGTCCTTAAAAATATCCGTTAATTAAATGACGCCTTGGTAAAGCAATCTGATACTACCGTGAATAGGTATGAAGTCAATGAATCCGTCAGTTATAGAATCTAAGGATTTGTCTTTTTATGTAACAGTTCCAATAGAAATATCACTCCTACAATTAAAGCCACTTTCCCATAGCAATTTCCATTACCCACATACCGTCAGATTTGAGCATACCTCAGAAACCTTGACGCTTCTATTTTCCAAGGTAGCCAGTTCTCCATAGGATACTGAATTCTAGTGGAAGTTATTCTTTTAAAGAATACAGTGCTATTTGCAAGGTGGGCATTAAAGGGACTGAAGAGAGACATTTTTTGGAGGAGGGGTTTGTGTGTTTAGTGCTGATGATCTTCAAAAATCTTCATTTTATTCATTGGTCTAATGGTTATTTAGGCAGCTGCTTTTAATTCATAGGTAAATCTGAGTTTTTCAGAGTAATAATAATTAACGAAAGTGGGCATTTGGCAAACATTATGAATACTGTTAGCTGTCCATATTGTTGAGGCTTACAATGAGGTGATGATTATGACAACTTGTACATAAACATTTGATAAACTTGAACGACCTGTAATTCTGTGAAACTTGGTTAAAGTGATGTATAGAAACAATTTCTCCTCCCATTGACATGCAGTCCTCTCTGGGTGCTTTTTAACATTGACAGTAATGCCACAGAGCAGTGAGGAAGAAGAATACCATATCCAATTGCAATTTGAGAGGAATTTTGCTTGCAGTAAAAAATAAATTAATTTAACTGTTTGTAATGGGGCAGGCTATTGACCCTGTTTTATACCATCAAACCTGGTTTATGAAAACAGCTAAATGACAAGAAACACAACTGCTTTCTTGGTCTGCTATATGGGTTACAGATTGCCAGTCCAACAATACTTCCAACCTTATTGTGACAAATCAATAAGTGTTCAGCCATCTTATTCCCATGATGAGTTCTAATGACGTTTTCTTTGCCAAGACTAATGGTGCCTGTTACCGAATACTGGCTAGGCCATTCATTCAAATTTTCAAGAGGTGTTAGATCCCCAAAGACACCTTTACAACAGGAAAAAAAATAATAAACCTAATGGAGAATTCTCAAGGAACTAGGGAAGCTTGGGCCTTGTAGTAATCGTGATTGAATAGATCCGACTTCTTTCTTTTCAATATTGTTGCAGTTCAAGACAAGACTTCAATAAAGTCTTGTTGCAGTTATCCAGATTAGCCTCTTTGGCCAGGTACAGGCATCACACTTTTACCAGTATAAGCGATCAGAAATCGGTCTATAGCCATAACAGAAGTTCGGCATACACAGACTGGTTTAAAAATGGCGGAACCTGGTCTAAAATCCACCCCCCACCTGTCTAAAATCCACCCCCCACCCTCCTCCCTCCACCAGAGAGGGTGTTTTCTTTCTGCTACTGATCTAATCTAGGCAGCTTACTGAAAACTGCATAACTTAGATTGATTTCCACCTTGGGCTTTTTGAACGTCTGTACCTAGCCTTTGTTATCAGATACCTAAATATTACAAAAATGAACAGGCAGTCCTCATCCCATTCCTCAGATCTGTTAGTTTGTGGGAAAAGGGGAACCTTATAAAAAAGATGAATATATTGCAGTGCTATCTCTGTTCTAAATGGAAATGGAGTTTAGACTGTCACCTTTAAACAGGATAGAAAATCTAACATTTTCCAGCGCCTATCTGTGAGTAAGTCTTTGGCTCCAGCAGCCCAAGGTCTGATCCAACTCCCATGGAAGTCAGTGTCATTCCTTCTCCATTGGCTTTAATGAAGCTGAATTAAGTCTCTAGAATTGCCTGACTAAATCATACTAATGTGTTCCTCACAGGCAGTCTAAAAGTAGGCCAGGTTTCTATTGTTCAAATGGTAACTATTCACACTGGATAAGGCTGTTGGAAGGTTTTGCTTCTGTCATTTTGATAGCAAAGTATTACTGCTGAGACCCTTTGTATTTTGGGTGCAGCCTTCTCAGAAAAGCTAATATTGTAATAATGTATTCTAATATGTAATTATAACCTAATACCAAAACACTAGCTTACAAAATTGTTGAAAGTTGTAAACTCCCCTCACCATTTGGAGCCATCTTATAAATCAGAAAGTGAAATAGATGGACCCGTTATCGTGATTTATATTTGCAGACTAGAAGTCTGATCTACCAGGCATTGAAATCAATAGGAATACTTTCAGTGACTTCAGTATTCATTGCAGGTCCTACAGCGAGCATATAATTCCCAAATCCTTGGCTTTTGTGTTTGTGTTTTTGGCCTATTATTGGGTCATCATTTGTTAATTGTTCCTATTATATGAGATACCAGTTATTTGTTGCTGTAAGAAAAGAATATTCTCCACAAAATTGTTACAGTTATTGGTTGGTAAAGGCCTAATTCTTAATGGAAGCTAGTACAGAGGTCCCAGCTTCCCTTTTTCTTTTTGTGTACCTGGCCTTGATTGTCATGTGTCTAAGCCTTTTATTTTATACAATGTAGGTGGAATGTAGTCCTCTGGAGGTGTCACAGCATTACCTATAAGAAAAATCCAGTCGGCACTGCTAAAAAGTCAACATTGATGAATCAACAGTGAGATGGAAGTGATACACAGAGACTGAATTTACTCCATTGGAGTATTTGGACATCTCTGGCTGAACTATCAAAGCCTTGTCCTATCTTGCAGTGGACTCGTATTAAAAACTTCACCTCGATCAAAGAATTCACCTCCTTTGTTGTTCCTTTGAAATGTGGGAGAAGGGCTTCCAGTCCTCCTACCTTCCTGGTTTCCTTTGGGACCTTCAGTTCTTTGTGATCACAAACATGACCTGAATTCAAGACCAATTGCACACACTTTCTTTTTTTAAACGGTTGCGGAGGTCCCTGGAAAAGTTTAAGGATAATAAATTGTGGGAAAATGCCTGGATTAATTCTCTGAGCCATGTCTTCCAGCACAAATAATAATTCCAAGGAAAGCTAGGTATAAGTAGGATAATTTACATTTGTATTTGTCAGGAGACACAGCAGTGCATGCTGAAATCTAGCCCCAGCTATTTCCCCGCTATTGGTGGAGGACTGATGATGCCTGTTGGTGGTCTGCATCTGATTACTGCTCCGGTGACTCGAGCAAGTACAAAGAAATCCAGGCTACAAGCAAGGAAGAATTTGAATTAGCTTTTGCTACCTTGCTCATTTGCTGAGATTAAAGGCATTTGGTAGATCCTCCTATATTATAGTCTAGCCTTTTCATGAGCTCATGGGCATTTGCAAGTGTGGGAGTCAGCTGGAGGCAGAGATGTTACCACTCCGGTTGGGCTTCTGCTAAAGGATCTGTTTCCTTTTAGACATACTGATGTTCAGGTCTTGTCACTCTCCTTAACAATGTCAAAGACACATGGCAGCCTAAGCTTCTGTGTGTGTTTACAGTGTAAGTGGATTTGAAAGCTTACTGTATTGTACATTTGCCTTTGGATAGAATTCAGCTCTTTCTATTTTATTTGACACTTCAAATGGGGTTGTTTTTTTAAACTTTTTCATGAATTTTTATTAGGCAAAATTCTTTCGGGAGAGAAATTGAAAGACAAAAGCAGGGACCCAAGTGGCCTGCAGCCTGAAAGAGTAGAGTGATGTGGCAATGCCCTTGGGAGCTAAGGGAATTCTGTATTAGGGTGGGCCTCGAAAAGTAATGAAGGTTGGCACAATTGTGTAAAGGGATTTTCTCGATACTTCTTCCTCCTCTTTGCCTTCAGCAAGATTAAAGTTGACTGTTGTGGGTCTGACTTTCCCCTGCTGTTGTTCATTGTCAAACTTGAAAAACGACACTAAAACAAGTTGAGGCACAAGAGTGCTTTGGAGGCTGCAAACATTATTAGGCAGGAGGTACTTTGGCAGATGGCAACCCGAACAGCTCGCATTATTTACTGACGCTTGCAAACTGTCTGTCTCAGAAAACTCATTCCACTTTTTAGAATTGCAAAGTTGTCCTACTGACTACCACGGAAATGTATCTACTTCTAGATATAAAGCAACAGCTGTCATAGCAGCATCAAGACTCAACAGTCTGGGGCCAGGACGTGAAGGAGAATCACTGTTGCATTTACAATAGTAGATGAATATATTCAAGAAGAATGTAATTGCCCCATTTATCACTTATTTTGCACCTCCCCCCTCCCGCCATGTATGTTGTTCCTATTCTTCCAAAAGTGTCATAGGATTTTTAGTGGACAGCAGTGATCTAGATCTATTTCCAGTTTCAGTACTTATTCCCAGTCCAACATCTATACCATGGTTGTTTACCTGCAAGTCTCTTGTCCAAGCACTCAAGAAGCAGACCTTTCTTAAGCAGACCTTTCTTAAGACTTAAATTTAACCAGCTCACAGGTTAGGATGGTGGGGCAGGTGGAGGTTGAAACATAATAGGGCTACTGTGATATTCTGCTTACTTGTGTGGAAAGTTAAGTTATAGAAATGCAGAATGAATAGTGCATGCATAAATCATTATTGGCATCTTAAATGGAATGATCCTGAAGATCTGACTGAATAGTTTAATGATAATCTTCATTAATCACAACACTGGTTCAAGTCTTGAACTAACAATTCCTTTCCTGCTAATGAGAATTGTGAGAATATATTAGCACGGTCTAGATTCTTGGCAGCTTTTCTTCAGAAATGAAGATGTCTGCAATAGGAATAATAAATTAATGGTGTCCTTGAAGTCCTGGGTAATCATTCTTGTATTTTTTCTTTCTTTTAGGAAATCTTTAAAATTGAAGGCAACCTTGGAATTCTAAGGCAAAAGAGAGCTATTTTGCTGTCTCCAATATTAATTCCAGAAAATCAGAGGCCACCATTCCCCAGGGTTGTTGGCAAGGTAAGTCTAGCCAAAGAGCAGGATCAAATGATGCTATTAAATGATTGATCCACTTCTCCTAGGTCTTTCTGCAGTAGTTATCACAGTAGTAGCCTCCGCTCTGGAGGCAGAAGAAAATGTCTGTGTGTGTGTGTGTGTGCGTGTGCATGTTACAGAGGTGCAGGTTGTAGCTGTGTTGGTCTAAGGACATAGGCAGACAAGGTTCCTTGGGTGAATCTGATAATTAAAGATATCAGATTGACCCAAGGAACCTTGTCTGTGTGTGCATGTGGAATTTTTATGTAAAAACATAAATTCTGCTTAAAAGGATTGATCAGGGAGGTATGTTTTAATAGAGGTATAAATTTTACTGTACTAGTTGCTTAACATGGATTTGTTCACTATTTACATCCCATTCTGAAATGACACGAAGTGTCATATTGGATTGACATAATCCGGCATCGCTCTATAAAACACATTCCCTTGCTTCTAACTTTGGTGCTGATTCTGAGAAGATATTAAAAACTCAAGTAAAATCATATGCATACACAGCAGTGGATCCCTTTCATCTATATACAAGTATTTCTGTGTGGTAGCTTTTATTTTATTCCATAGATATGTCAGAATAAACTTTGTGTCAGTAGAGAAATGTGCGCACACACACTCGCTCAAGGGGAGAGCCAGCTCCGGTTCTTGTGATCAGAGTTTCCCGTGTGCAAGAAAAAAAATCTCAAGTTGCAGCAAAGGAGATTTAGGTTGGAGGTTAGGAAGATTTTTTGACGCTGAGGATGTTTTAACATTGGAGCTGGTTACCTAGAGAAGATATGGCATCTTTGTCTTGGGGAAATTTTCAAGAACAGGTTAGACAGACACTTACCTGGCATGATTTAGTCAGGGATGATCCTGAACTGAGTAGGGGGCTGAACGGGATGACGTCATGAAGTCTCTTCCAGCCCTACTTTCCTAGGATGCTACGTCCATGTAATTACAACAACTGTTACTTAATTGAGCATTTTAATGTATGATGTTTGGGAGTGCACATGCAATAATGGTCACTGCAGGTGCAAATAATATATGTGCAGTTGTGAAAAATGGACTAGTCACATTGTTCTCTTTTTCGTAGGTGTGACAATTTGTATGCTGACCTATACAAGTCAAGAGATTTTTATTACACTGTTCCCACTCATACCATTAGTAGAACTAAATGCACAGCCCCAGGGCAGAATATGATTCCATGATTGATGTGTATTTTAGCCAGATGGCATCTAATTAATTACTTTAATAATTAGAGAGAGTTTTGATTCTTTTTAGCTGAACAAGAAAATTATCTTTGAGGTTTTATACTCTCTTGCTCCCCAATCGCATTCATACTGAACACGCATCTCACTAGAAGGTTTCCTCCCTTGGGGCTAGGAGCAGACTTGAAATTTCCTTTAAGTACATGTCTTATCTAATATTAAAAACTTCCCTACTACTCAGCTTTCTTCACCTGTTTAAATGTTAGGCTATCTGAGAATTTGGAGTCATCGATAATTGAGTAAAATTTTTGACCAACATATTAGTAATAACATATTTGATCTCTTAAGGCACTATTTTTTGAGGGAAGCCCCAGCACAGTCCTCCAGCAGCCCAGGGTGCTTTGCTCCTACCCCTGCCCCTGGGATACAGTGTGTCGCTCACTGGACTCTACTGCTTCAGCCAATCAGGGAGTAGAGGGAGTAGAACACGCCCCATTCATAATCCTCACATTCTACTACAGGGAGAAACAGGTTGACCCTGAGCAGTTACAGCTGCCCTGTGCACTGCTTCAGACTCGGGGAGCCTGAGGAGCACGCTGAGATGTGTGCACAGGAGCCCGCTGCCCAGCATCAGCATTGCATGCTTTCTGCTCTTTAGGGACTCGCTACTTCAATGTCTGTTCAGGTTTATCTGGGTAAGTTTTTATACTGGGAGGACAAACCTGGAAAAATTCTTCCAGATCATTTGAACACGTGTACACAGCCTAAGGTACCATCTTGAGATGCTGCTGCATAGTCCTCATATGTGAGTTCATGGAGGAAAGAAGAAACTCATTTTACACACGGATCTAGGAGGAATAAGTGTGTTTTTAAAAATGCGTTCAGTCACTTCTATTTTAAGTTTGAAGGACAAGCTATTTATGAGATGTTTCTCACGGGCTGTACATTCATCCATGAAAACCCCCCTTTTTATCAAATCTAATAATAATATATTTTACAGAAAAATCCTTTTATTCTTTTCCATAAAGTCCAGTTTCAATTAACAATGATGGTTTTCAAGTCACAAAACTAGGATGCAGATCTGGATTTTTAGTCATCCTGAAGTCTGATTGTGGAAATATGTCCCTCCTTGAAAATTTCAATCTGAATACATATTTATAACTGGACCCCTCGCCTTTCACAATATAGAAGGTGTTGAGTTAGAGCTTTCTCTGCTGTTGGCGTAGCTAAATTTAAATGAAAAGAGTCGATGAATTTGCCTCAAGCGACTATATAATGGAATTATTTGTGACAAATTAGTCTTGAGCAGAAGTAATAACCAAGACTTATCAATATTAAATACAAACAAGACTAAATAAACATCTTATTGAGCAAATAGACTACTTTCCCAATATCATATCTCCATTTTCTTTAGATATTTTCTGCTTCCCTTTTCCTCTCCTTTTATCCCATGACCTTCCTGTTTCTGTGTTTTTTTTCTGCCCTTGGCTCCATCTTTCCATCTTTTTTAAAAAAAAATTTTTTAGCTACCTTTCTGTTCCTTTTCCCTTATATCTGAGAAGCAAAGTGAAAGCTTTTAATAACTTCCACAATTAGTGTTTGACTATATTGAAAATCAGACACAATATAAAGAGGACAAGTAACCCTTTTCATCAAAGCACAGGGCTGAGACTCAGGAGACTGAGTCCATTTCTCATGTCTGCCATAGACTTCTCAGCTGACCTTGTATTAGTTTCATAGTTTTTAGGGTTGCAAGGGACCTGAGCAGATCATCAAGTCCGACTGCCTGCCCTGGGCAGGAATGAGTGCTGGGATCATAATACCCCAGCCAGATATCTATCCAACCTCCTCTTGAAGACCCCCAAGGTAGGGGAGAGCACCACCTCCCTTGGGGGCCCATTCCAGACCCTGGCAGCTCTAACTGTAAAGTAATGCCTCCTGATACCAACCCTGAACCTGCTCTCAATCAATTTGTGGCCATTATTCCTTGTTATTAGTGACTTGGGTTGGGATTTTCATGAATGAAAGGAATTTCAATAAGATTTGGACATCTAACTCCTGCATCTAACTCCTTTGGAAATATCAGTCTCATTCTCCTGTGTGATAAATGAGGATGTTTCTTTTCACCCACTCTGTGTCTTGTCGATTTAAATTAAGACTGAGTGAATAATGGCTTTTTTGTTTTTCTGGTAACTGAAAAATCAAACAGAAAGTTTACCTTGCAATAAACCAAAACCAATTGGAAAGCTGAATTTGTTCAGCTCACAACAAAATATTTTATTCTGCAGTTCAACATATTTTTAAGGTTTTATCATCTTTTAAAAAAATAAACAAAGGGAAAATCAAAAGGAAGTTGTTTTGAATAAAACAAAATGTTTTTAAAATCTCCAATATAATATTCCATTGTTGCCTTGGAATGCTTTTCTCCCTAAGAAAGCTGTTTGGGGATAACTGAAATGAATGTGCAAAATTGTTTTGTGGTTGCTGAATCTGTACTTTTTAGGGAAAATGGTTTTAGTTGAAAAAAAATGGCTGTTTTGACTATTTGGACTAATATGGCTATTTGGATTATAAGAGACAGCCCCATCTCTGAATAGCTTACTAATGCTAGGCAGAACTGGTCTCTGATGTGGCATGGCACCATAATCTATATCAATAATATTAATAATGAAACTGCTATATCAGGTCTACTCATTAAAATGTGATAACTATGAAACGCAGAAGGTGTGAAGCAAAGGTTGAACATAAACTGCAGTTCATGCAATATAAATGGAACGGGTATAGCATAAGGATATCTTCAAACTGACATTTCTTGAGCCTAATCTTGAATCCAATTCCTACTTTTAGGGAATGAGAATTTGTTTTAGTTTACTCTTCCATTCAATCTTTGGCCTTTATGGCAGAAATGCCGCCAAGGCTAGCTATTTGTCATGGAGCATTTTGTGCATTGAAGATTGTGAGGAACTATAATGAGATTCACCACCTTATCTGAAATGGATGGCCAAATAACAAAATTTGCTCACTAAAAGGTGGGTCTGTAGATTGTATGGCAGGATTTATTTGTCTAACAAATGGACTCATACCCAAACTGTGTCCAAGCAGGTGACTTGTTGATACAAAAATATTCCTATTGCTAAGTTTCTAAGACTTTTGGTATCCCAGCATCTAGACGCTGAATCTGGCCATCCCTGCTGGAAGCCTTTGAGGGCTATGTGATATTTTAAGGTTCATATATTTTACTTATTGCTATTATTAGTGTTGTTATAACATGTAGGTGCCCAAGTAATGCACCAGGACCCCCACTGTACTGTAAAAGCAGAACAAAAAGGCCATCCCTGCTACAAGAACGTACAATCTAAGATGAGAAGCAACAGCTGGACACAGAGCAGGCATGGCGAGTACAAGAAAACAGTGAGACAGCGTTAGCCAGTGGTCTTATCAGCCTCATCGTTGTCCAGGTTTTGTATACATCCTAGAAAAGGAGCCATGTTTTGAAGGCAATGCATTAGAGACAATTACTAGGAAGAGTATTGATCATCTTATTCTGTGTCTTGATTCAGCGCTAATGAGTGATTTCAAGATAATGGGGTAAGTTACTTCTCAGCACGGTGCAAAGATTCACAGGGATCTATGATTATGTCTGAACAGCAGCACTATTGTAGGGGCCTAAACATAGGATCCTGAATTCATTTTAACATAGATACACATTGGTCCAGTTTCCAAAGGTGCTAAGCATGATCAGCTTCTGGTACATTTGATAGGCAATTGCAGATGGAACCTTTA